AAAAAAAAAAAAAAAGGCAAGGAAGGGAAAGAAGCCAGCAAGAGACTGAAAAGAGCAAGAGAAAGTGGCAGCTGAGAAGGACTGTGAAATCACCTCCCCTTTCTTGGGCTGTCGATCASAGCGAGAGTTGTACATTATTATTATTGTTTTTCTTTCTACGTCTATCTGTCCACATACACAGGCAGAGAAAGAGACAAGTACTGACAGTGAAACTCGACGAGACCAGCCATGGTAGCAAGGGCTCAGCCTGATCGGAAACAATTACCGCTGGTCCTACTGAGATTGCTTTGCCTTCTCCCTACAGGGCTGCCAGTCCGCAGCGTGGATTTTACCCGAGGTACCGATAACATCACCGTGAGGCAAGGGGACACAGCCATCCTCAGGTAGGGCATTTTGCCAACTTTTTCTCATCTGTGTGTGCATCTATATTTCCATGTATGCAACGTGTGCATGTGACGTGGTGTAGATTTGTGTGTATATGTCTCGGTGAGAGCGTGTGTTATTTTACCTCTCAAACTGCAGTAGCAGCAGCTGCTACAAACAAGGCTCTGCGTGTGTGTTTGTGCTTTAATGCGAAAATTTTGCAAAGCTTTTGAACACTTCTTGCCACACTATCCTCCGTGTAGTGCTCTGGATCAAAAGAATTTCAGTGGGGAAAGATCTGTTTGTGTTAGCCGGCTCTTGTGAGCGTACACTTTCCACCAGCCCTGCAGTATCGATAGAGGAATCAAAAAGGGATCCAGCTGTGCTTGCCAGATGTTCCATTGATCTTCCCTCGCTTCTTTTTGTACATATGCAAAAACTTTATCCCTGGTGCTGCCAGAACTCTCGGGCAAGTTCTTTTGGGAAACTCTTGYCTTTTAATTTTATTTATTTATTTTTCTGCCCTGTGGAGAGGGAGGATGGATACAATAGCTGAAAAGGCTGGTGAAAAAAAATGGTGTAGGAWCTCTGACATTTAGAAAGATTGTATCTTAGTGTGTTGGGGTTTTTTTGCAGTGCTAAATAAATGGCTGTGTGCTGTGCCTGCGTGTCTGGTTGTGATGAGGGTGTCTTTGCACATGAAACCACGCTTATTGGCAGTATTGAGTGCTATATTTCTGTTTTCATTGTGCAGGTTTTCCAAAGGTACTTCTGACACTACTTGGGCTTTCAGTTAGGAGCGTCCCAAATAGCTGAACTGCAGTAGTCTTTTTCCTGTAGGTTTCTTTTTCAAATTCTGCCTTGCTCAACTTACCTGCAGTAACTTACCTACTGGAGGAAAATTCTGCSTGTGTGAGTGTGCACACTGTGTATTATGGCTATGAAACTACCGGGTGTAATTTAAAATAAGTCTGTGATCTATCTGAGGAGCTGATAGTGCACAAACCCTGAAGCACCAAGGGAGCAATCCCCTAGCAAAGCTAACAGCAGCAGCAAAGTTTTCTTTCTCTTTCTGTGAAATAAATCCTGCTGGATGTCACCAAACGCTCTGCTACACGATCCCCTGTGTCCTGCATCCCTCCCATTTAATGACAGAGGGAAGCAGGATGCTGGAAGAGGGATGTGTGTGTGTGTGTGTGTGTGTGTGTGTGAGGACGCATATTGCTTTGGTCGCCTCCCATGTCCTCGGTTGTTTTGATCCTGGAATATCCATTCAGCAGCTTCCATTCCCCAGCTCTCCAGACTTGTTAACTTGAATGTAAGATTTATCCACACAGAGTAATAGGATTTACAGAGTAATTCATCTGCCTTGCATATGCAATGCAAGCGGTTTAGATTCAACATGGTAAACACCTAACAAGGGGTGTTGCCTCTGACTCCGGCTTCTCTACTCTCTCTTCCACTCACTACCAATTCATACATCCCATTAACCCTTTTCTAGCAGGACTCCTAGCTGACTTATCCCATTTTTAAAGGCAAATCGCTTCCATCAATCATTTATTTTGGAGGGGCTGCTCAGACAGATGTTCACCGGCATATGTTTGAWACATGCAGCAGCAGACAAGTCATTAAGCTCACTTGCCCAGACAGGGGTCACTAGATTTCTATTTCCCACTTAACCTTGGAGGCTTTTGAGTTTATCTAGATGCTGTGTGCTAAAGCTGCATTTGCAGCTGAGAGGGCTAAAGCGATGGTGGGGATGGTGCCTGCATGTGCTGYGTGTAAAGCGTTCCTTCACCAGCGAGCTCCACGGGGCTGCATGGGAGAATGGTTTCAGCAACTGCGTGTGGCTTGCCAGTGTTATGTCAGGCACTAAAATAAAACACCTGAGTGAAGTGATCCAGCTGTGTCAGCCAGATGTGTGCCAAGTGACACAGTCTGCAGGAGCAGCACACCACCCGGCCATGTAAATGCTTGCCCCGAGCAATGCTGTGTGTGTTCCTGGCAGGCTGTGTTTCTGTCACAAGTGACTGTGGCCRGTGCACTGGCTTTACCTTTTTCGTTCAGCTGCCTTCCTAAGCTCTTTAAGCAGATCTGGCCAGCTTTATGCTTTTCACATTTCCTAGGAAGGAAAGCTGCCTCCTCTCCCTTTCCATGGAATTAGCCCCAGGTTTCTGGGATGTTTCAGTTCCTCCTTCAGAGAAGAGGCAGAAGCCAGACTGTACTGGGAGACAGGACTGCCAAGTGAAACTGGAAGGTGTGAGATTTCCCTATGTCCCATACACTTTAGGTCCTTCAGGATGACATTTCATTCCTTCAGTTTTAAAGCAAGGGTTTGTTTGCTAGCTTCCCCCTCACTGTTTTCTCAATCGTAACTCACTTTAACACGGCCTTGTTTTGAAAAACTCCCAGTGTCTCACCCTCCTTGTCTGTAGATCCACTATGACAATAGAGGGGAAAGAGCTAGATGGGGRAAAAAAAAAAMCATTAGATGATCTATGCTAACAGTATTCAAAGGAGATCTTTATGCCCACAGARAGATAGGTAAGAGTTTTCTGTACGTGGATCATATCACCTATCTTTGCTAAACATCTGCTTCAGAGGGATTGTGCAGCATCAGTTTTCCAGTGCCCAGTAGCTCCTGTAGCTTGAAGGGAAATGAGAATGTGGGAGGTAGAAAAAATGATACACAGTTGGAGAGAAATAAAGCAGTATACATAGTGATAAGATAACTAAAAACATTTTGTTCCTGTAAATTGTGATGCAAATCATTCAGTAAAGGACAGGATTTTCTAAATGAATCTTCCTCTTTGGGACCTTATACATTTGTATATAGGGTTGCACTTGTAGGTGGAAGAATGGGTGGGTGGACTGATCTATGAAGTGGAGAAAAATAGTTTATTATAAGCCCTAATGTTCCCAAAGGAAGCCAGTCCTCTGAAGCTTCATCTGCAGCTCGTTACTCAGAATAGAATTATTCTGAAAAGTTTGGAGATGAGTTTTTAAAGCTATAGCATTTAAAATATTCCCTCAGTATGGGACTATTAAAAAATGTCCCTAACTCTAAACTGGCTCATCTCCTAAATGACCTGGCAGCAGATTTRATCCATTTGTTGGCCTTGCTGAAGTTTGATGACTCTTAAGGAGTATTTGGCATGGGGAAGTTGGGGAAYTGCAGAGAGAATAAAAATARCTCAWKRTASACTATCTGCAGGGAAAAGGGTAATRATCTRCTCCTTAGAGCAAGGCAGAAAAGAGAGGAGAGGTCTGAGAGCTGCAACAGGTGGAAATGGCTGAGCAGAGTTGCTGGTGTTTGTCCAGCTGCAAAAAGGAAAGAGAGCTTGCAAGGATGCTTCAAAGATGACACTGTAGATTAGTGAGCATATCAGACTKACTAAGTTTTCRTTTTTGTARCTCTTCAGCAAGTGAAGAAGGACAMTGAACCTTATTTKGASTATTGAGAGGGAGCTTTGGCTACAGCTCCTGCCGATGTCTTGCTTTCAAGATTACAGTCATGAGGTTGTCAGGTTTTGTATGCAACTTCCCTGCTTGGTGTTAGGAAAAGAAGAACCTCCATATAAGAAATGCACAACATAGCCTTCAAACTAATTAAAACAGGAAAAGGAAAACAGTCCCYAACCCCAAATCTCCTTGCTGCATCCCTTCCCACCTCATTCACTCTGCACATGTTGGCTGAGCACAGGCAGGGATCCTGTACTGTGTAATGTGCTTTCTATGTAGCCTAGGGAGAGGATGAGGAACATGAGGATGCTGGCTAAGCTGGGACATGTGCAGTAATGAAGACCAGCAGCTGCAAACAGGGAAGGAAAGGAACTGTCTTTCTGTGTTGTGTTTGGCCCTTAAGATGGGTTAAAAGCAAAATGRCAGTGGGAAATCCATGCTGTGGGATCAGATACTTTACAGCATGTCAGGGRGAAAGATCAGCTGCCTCAGGAGCCACCACAGCAGCTCACCTCAAAGTGCCTTTAAAGCACTAATCTGAGGGTGTCAGCAGGACTTGCAGGCTGCCCTGGGATTTTAGAAGTCCTGGCACAAGTGCAGATTTAGCCTTTGAAAACTCCTGAAATGGAGCTCRTCACCAGCTGGAGCCAAAATGGGTCACATCCCCATTCCAATCTGTTCCGTTATTCCAGTACAAATCCACTAAAGCCCAAGGGCAGAGCCAGAAATATTCCATTTGCCTTTGGGGCAGATTCCCAGGGACTGCAAATAAAGAGGTACAAGTGACTCATACAGGGTGTAAGCTGCTGAGTGCTGCTCAGATGATGTTCAGCCTGTTGGAGAACTGGGATCTCGCCAAGGCCAGAATTTGGCTCATTGCTCCCAAGTTTTCCCAAGCATCAACTTTTCATCAAGAATTAAATCAATCCGATGCTGATGTACAGATGAAAACCAACATTTGACTGAGTGCGCATTTTTCATTTTTACCAGGTATTTTGAAATAATGTGAAGTTTCAGGMTGATGGCACATTTAGGAACATCCATTCTAATGGGTACTTAGTTCCTTCAYGTTACATGTGTCAAGGGATGGGCTGGAATCAAATTACCAGCAGTAATGACAGTGCTGTTGGTGTAATCCTGCAATATAAGCAATTTATGCAAACTCTGTTCTTGGCCTCCCAGTATTTTGCTGATATGTTGTTACACGTGGAGCTGCGCTAGAGGACAAAGGCACCTCAGGCAAAATAGCAACACAACATCACAACAAAGTTTATGCCCTACACCGTCATTTTAAAAGAAAAGTAAAAGCTGTTCAGATTACACTTATAATTAGCATATGATTTATAACAGGGAGTACTGAGCTGAGCCTTTTGCTAGGAATGACAATAGGCATGTTCAAAGGTATAATGTACATAATAATACAGTCTTGGCAGTAAAATTGTAACCTTGGTTATTAGTGGTGSTGTTGTGGCAATTAGAGGCCAGCACTAAGGTGAGGCACCCTTTGTACCAAGTGAGCAGGGAATAAGAGATCCCCTCCTCTGTGGGGTGGGCAGGT